GGTTTTCCAGAAAACCGGGGCTTAAAGGGCCCTCCGCCCAAATCCTTTTAGCCTTTTTGCCTACTCGAGGTCCTCTATCGAATGATGTATGAACGAACAAAATCAGAGCCGGACACCTGGGGCGGTTCCCTCGTTAGCATCATCAGAATTTGTCCAATAATATTTTGTTCTATTATTAAAAGTAATATATATATATATATACGAGTTTCAAAGCATAAAAAATAAAGAATGCCTAAGATAATTGTATCCAAGAACGGCTACTAATGAATAACAAAAATCAATGGAAGTAATGATAAATACAGAAAAAAGCATGCAAAACTGTGAAAATGGTTGATTATAGTTTTAAAAAAAATGGCAAGTTCTTGTTTAGTTCAACTAATTTTCTTTTTTACCTTTTATTGCTCGTATTTGTAGAACTATTTTATGATATTCTTTAGTGTTAACTCGTACGCTCAAAAAAATACCCAACATCGTTAGCACTCATTTATTCAATCATCTTCTTATTCAAATATCTATTCTTATCAATTCTTTTTATTAAAGAAAAAAAAGATTGAATATGAAAAAAAGAAAACTGTGCTAAAAGAAAGACGTGCAAAAGCGAACAAACGTGTAATCAGTACTACAAAAGAACCGAAAATAATAACAAAAAAACATTCTTTTCGTAGAATAAGGGTAAGAATTAAAAGACAGAAGGAGAGATAAAAAAGAAAACTGTTTTGAAATTTATTTGTGTATTATATCATCAGTTTAATATGAGAAAGGAAAGGTAATTTTAGCCCTTTCAAGTTCAAGATTATTATTCATCGAGAGAATTGGTGATAACCTTGTCTGCAACGATAAAAAAAGAACTGAATAGATGTGAGAAAGAGTAGTTGAAAGGATGATATAGTACTCGAACACTTTGTTTCCATATTTATGCATTCTCTTTGGAAAAAAAATTAACAATAACAAATTAATATTTTTTAAATAAAAAACAAAGTGTCGTATGAAGCATAAGTCAACATTAATATGGACATAAAAATAGTACAAAAAGAAAAAGAAAATCACAAATATTTTAATTAGAGAAATAAAATTGGACGGTTATTTCTCTAAATTTTTTATCACTCGGTTTTAATTTTTAAAATTTATTATCAGTGACTGTTGTCGGTGTCAATTTTAAAAGACTTTTTCGAGATGGAAGTGGTGATCTTTGTCTACTTCTTGAATTTTGTTCTTCACCATCGACCGTTGATAACGAATCTAATGAAGCACGCGTTTTCCAATTCATTTCTCCATAATTTAAACTGTCATTATCATCAAATACAATAGCCTTAATGAAGCACAAGAAATATCTTCTTAGATTATGATAAATAAAATTAGTTAACTTATCCTTACTTTTCGTTCGTATTCTTCTTTCTCAAATGTTTGTTCACTTGCTGCAATGGCTAGTCTTAATTCTCTCTCCTCTCGGGTTTCAATAGTGCTCGGTCCCGATTCCTGATCAGAATCTCCATTCCACGATGAACGTCGTCGATGATCATTGTTTCGTTCAGTTAACTGAATATTTGATCGGCGTTGATGACGTTGTCGAAGAAATTTAACTAGACGATAGGTACCGTATGTAGGTACGGCAACCGTTGTGCCCACTGCTAATAGAGCAACAGCGCCTACAGCAGCAACAGGAGCTACAACAACTGCGGCACCTACGAATAAACCTCGAAGAGTTTTACGCAAAACTGGTTTATTCGGATATAAATTATATTTACAACCTAAAATAGAAAACATTTTAGTCATTATGTTGTTCAACGAATCATCAAAAATAGAAAAAAAAGATAATTTATTTTATTTTATTCATTTACCTAATGGCAAGTATTTACTTTCATGAGTACCAAAAAATTTAATTTCCAATCGTCTTTTTCCACAATTATAGCAAAAATCGCAACTGCATTTTGAACAGGTCATGTGTGGACACCCTCCATTACGGGAAATAAATACCTGAAACAAAAAAATATATGAACACAAATTGGAAAAAGTATTAGCTATCATATAATTCTACTATATACACGAATATATTTACAGTGAAAAACAAAATTGTCAATTAGATAACGGTTAAGAATAAATATACATTTATCTGTTATATGAACAACATACATACTTTACACTTTGGACATTGTTTTGCATTAGATTGATTTTGATCATATTGATTTGCCCATTGTTTTAATAATTTATTTCCTTCTGTATATTCTTTACAAGTCATTTTCTCATGCCACGGACTATGACACTGAAAACACCAAACGAATGAGCATTCCAGACATTCGACACGACGTGGCCTGTGCTTAGGAGACGTAAATAGTTTCTTGTCTAACTCTAATATTGAACAGCACTTTGGACTAAAACAGACATAAAACTGTTCAAAACGTAGCTAAAAAAACTAAAAAGATGGAAATATATTCATTCGTCTAAGAAACCAGCACATTAAATTCAGATCATACGAGCTAATCAAAATCGAATACAAACACTCTTATCTTTCTTAAACTACGTTAAGAATTCTGTTGAGAGCATAATGATCAGACAAGATGACTGCATTGATAATAGCACTAATGAGGAAACCTATGAACATGTCTGACTCCGTTTTTAATGATTCATATCTCGATCGATAGAGTATATCGAGGTTGTAAAAAGCCTAAAAGGGTTCGGGACCATGGCTTTTCCTTCCAAAGCTATAGACATTTTTCTAGTCTTCTCAACGAAAACTAGCAAAACTAGCAAAAATCATATCTCTGTCCAGAAGAGTAGCAGACAGCTGATAGTTTTATATGACAGGCTAGTGGTAGTCTACTATATACACTGAAAGTTTTAGCCTTTCATTTCTTTCCGTTCACAAGTTCTAAAACTTTCTATTTTGAAGGAAAAATATTGTAGAAAGAATGCATAATATTTTCTTTTCTCTTGTGTTTAGTTCCTCTTATTACAGTCACATGGCTTGTTTACGAAGGAAAACACACGTGGC